GACGGAGAGAATCGGGTGAAGCATCAACCTCCTCAGCCTTGCACACGGAGTCCAGAGGGAGAACTTCAGAAAGAAATTCAAATCGTGGCAGATCCAAATCTAGAAGGGGAAAATGAAGAACGGGAAAGAAAGATTTACCTATTATAATTGTGGCAAGAAGGGTCACTTTAAAAGAGACTGCCGAGCACTAAAGAAAGATACCCGTGTACAGGAATCTGCCAACATGACAGAGGAGACATGTGATGCCATGATTCTAAGCGTCAACACTCCGATTGAATCATAGATCCTGGATTCAGGGGCATCTTTCCACTCCACCCCATGCCGAGAAATAATGGAGAACTATGTTAGTGGTGATTTTGGGAAGGTTCATCTAGCCGATGATAAAACCTTGAAGATCGTCGGAAAAGGAGACATCCGATTAAAGTTGCCAAACCATACCACCTGGAAGCTGACAGGAGTGAGACATATTCCTGGCCTCAAAAGGAATTTGATTTCTGTAGGATAGCTTGATGGAGAATGATATAGTACAACCTTTTCAGGCTGTGAATGGAAGATTACCAAAGGAGCACTCGTCATTGCTCGTGGTAAGAAAACTGGTACTCTCTATATAACCTCAAATTTAGAGAATATCATTGCAGTAGCAGATGCTGATGGAAAATCAAACCTATGGCACCAAAGGCTTGGCCATATGAGCGAGAAAGAGATGAAGACACTTTTGTCAAAGGGGAAGTTGTTGGATCTAAAGAATGTAGATGTCGGACTATACGAGGATTGCATCTTTGGCAAATAAAAGAAAGTCAGCTTTGCAAAGATTGGTAAGACACCCAAGGCTGAAAAGTTAGAGTTGGTTCATATTGATGTACGGGGACCATCTCCAGTCCATCTCTTGCAGGCTCATTATATTATGTCACCTTCATCGATGATTCTACAAGGAAGGTGTGGGTTTATTTTCTGAAGAAAAAATCAAAAGTCTTTGATACCTTCAGAAAATGGAAGGCCATGGTGGAAAATGAGACTGGTCTGAAAGTCAAGCGGTTGAGGTCTGATAATGGAGGAGAGTACAAAAATCGTAGATTCAGAGAATTTTGCGCAAATAATGGGATCAAGATGGAGACAACAGTTCCCATGACACCGCAACAGAATGGCGTAGCAGAGCGCATGAACAGAACTCTGAATGAACGTGCCAGAAGCATGAGGATACATGCCGGATTGCCCAAATTTCTATGGGCTGAAGCTATCAACACTGCAGCTTACCTGATTAACCGTGGGCCCTCAGTTCCTTTGGATGGCAGAATACCAGAGGAAGTTTGGAGCAATAAAGAAATAAACCTTTCACACTTAAGAGTGTTTTGTTGTATTTCTTATGTACACATAAACTCTGCTGAAAGAAGTAAACTTGATGCCAAGTCCAACAAATGTGTCTTTGTTGGTTATGGTGGTGATGAGTTCGGCTACCGGTTTTGGGACTATGAAAATCGGAAGATCATCAGAAGCAGAGATGTCATTTTCAATGAGAATGTGATGTACAAAGACAAGTCAACTGTAGAATCAAGCAGCTCCAATACCAAAGCTGAAACAAAGGAATTTGCTGAGTTCGAGGAGATTTCTGGAAATGATGTTCAGATTAGTCCTGAAGCAGTTCAAGAAGAACCAGGCACACCGGAACTAAGACGCTCCTCCAGAATTCCTAAACTAACCCAATGTTATTCTCCTTCTTTGCAATACTTGTTGTTGACTGACAATGGTGAACCAGAGTGCTATGATGAAGCAATGCAGGTGGAGGATTCAATCAAGTGGGAGTCTTCCATGAAAGATGAGATGGACTCTCTTATGTCAAATCAGACGTGGGAATTAGATGAATTACCACCAGGCAAGAAAGCACTCCACAACAAGTGGATTTACAGGATCAAGGAAGAGCACGATGGGAGCAAACGCTACAAAGCAAGATTGGTTGTCAAAGGTTTTCAGCAAAAGGAAGGTATTGACTATAATGAAATTTTCTCTCCAGTTGTAAAACTGTCTACAATCAGACTGGTGTTGAAAATTGTAGCTGCAGAAAATTTACATCTTGAGCAGTTAGATGTAAAGACAGCTTTCCTTCATGGTGATTTGGAGGAAGAAATCTATATGAGGCAGCCAGAAGGCTTCATAGAGGCAGGCAAGAAAAACCTGGTATGCAGGTTAAAGAAGAGCTTGTATGGTTTAAAACAAGCTCCTAGACAGTGGTACAAGAAGTTCGATAGCTTCATGTGTAGCAGTGGTTTTACCATATGCCAAACAGATCATTGTTTCTACATCAAGAGGTTCGACAATAGCTTCATTATTTTATTTTTGTACGTTGATGACATGCTCGTTGCAGGCTCAAACATGCAAGAGATTATACACTTGAAGTAAAAATTGTCGAAGCAGTTTGCTATGAAGGATCTGGGTGTTGCAAAGCAGATTCTTGGGATGAGGATCAAGAGAGACACAAAGTCGGGGACTTTGATGTTATCACAGGCTGAGTACATCAACAAAGTACTCTCCAGGTTCAACATGCAAGATGCTAAACCAGTAAGTACACCTTTAGGTGTTTAATTTAGACTCTCCAAAGAACAATCACCAAAGACGGAGGAAGAACGTGCACACATGGTAAAGGTGTTGTATGCCTTAACAATTGGAAGTCTGATGTATGCCATGGTTTGTACCAGACCATATATTGCTCAAGCAGTGGGAGCTGTTAGCAGGTACATGAATAATCTGGGCAAGGTACACTGGGAAGCAGTCAAATGGATCCTCAGATATCTGCGGGGTACCACAAACAAAGAACTTTGTTTCAAAGGTGGAGATACGATACTGACAGGCTATGTAGATGCTGACTTAGCCGGAAATGTTGACATCAGTAGGAGCACTACAGGGTATGTCTATACTCTAGGAGGAACCGCAGTGAGTTGGGTTTCTCAACTACAGAATATAGTTGCTCTCTCCACAACTGAAGCAGAATATGTCGCTGTTACGGAAGCCAGCAAGGAGATGGTTTGACTCCACAGTTTCTTGGAAGAGTTAGGCAAGAAACAAGAAAACAATGTCTTGTATTGCAACAGTCAAAGTGCTATACATCTAGCAAATAATCTGTCTTTTCATTCCAGTACAAAGCACATACAATTGCGATATCATTATATCCGGTCTCTTCTGGAAGATGAGATTTTAAAACTTGAAAAGATCAGTGGAGCTCAAAATCCGGCAGACATGTTGACAAAGACGATGACCACGGACAAACTGAAGTTGTGTTCAGCTTTAGTTGGCATGCAAGAATAACAAGACTAGAAATGTTGCTGCATCGATCGAGGTGTGAAGACAGATTAAAATCAGTCTTCAAGTGGGAGATTGTTAAAAGTCTAAAGGTTGGCAACCAACTTTGAAAATGGTTTTCAAAGTTTGGTAAATGTTTCTTTGAAAATGGTTTTCAAAGTTTGGTAAATGTTTCTTTGAAAAATGTTTTTTCAAAGTTTGGTAAAGTTTGGTAGATGTTTGTTGAAAATAGGAATGGGTAAATTCACTTTAGTCATTGCACTGTAGGATATTTTCAAAGATTAGTCCCTAAGTTTCAACTATAAATACCCTAACTCATTTAGATTCAAAATCATCCCAAAAATCATTTCTTTCTCACAATACTAGAGAGCTTTCTTGTGAGCAGTGAGTGTTTTGTAAACACCTGTAAATTTTCTCTCTTAGTAAAAGATCTGCAGCTGTCTGAAGACGTAAGCAAATTGGCTGAATTCCATTATCAATTTCGGGTATTATTTTTCCGCTTTTATTTCGCTTTCTCACTAATCTGGTTATAGGGAAATTACTCGTACTCGGTTTATTTCCTAACATGCACCAATCAACCTCGTTGATGCACTGTATCAGCAGGAGCAATGGGGGTTTGGCCTACTTGAAATGGGTTTATCAAAGTACTCTCCCACAACTTTTGGAACTCATACATTGGGATTGCCAGTAGGTCTTGGCTATTGTTACTACATATTCTGGGCAGTGTTATCCATTCCAACTACAATCTATGCCTTCCTCCCTCAATTAGCACTCTTCAATGGAGTCTTCATCTTCCCCAAGGTTTAGATTGTAAATTTGTTGGTAAATTTATTGTTGAATATTATTCATTACATCCACTTACAATGATGAACCTATTGCAGATGAATGAACTATGGTTTCTCCTATACGTGTTTCTTTTCCTTGGTGCATACGGCCAAGATTTCATTGAATATGTCATAGAGGGATCAAGTTTCATTGAATATGTCATCTTCGGGTTTTTTAAGGTAATTTCTTAGAAAGTTTTTAAATGGAAAAAACTTACACTTCATCCTTAAAATGTGTATACAACCGACATTAGTTAAACTACTAGGTGATAGCCTTAAATTATGATGTGTTTAGTTCGGTTGAAAAATAAAAAGAAATGAAAAAATCCTGGAACGAAAAGATTTTTCGTGGAGACTAAGGGGCTGTTTGTTTATCTCTTAATGGAACCATTCAGTGTTGAATGCTGAACCGTTCAGCATTCAGCGCGTTTGTTTTGCACCTCTAAATGATTCAGTGTAGACTGATTCAACAAAAACAATGCTGAATGATTCAGCACATAAGTACATTCTGAATGATTCAGAGCCAGTAAACAAACAGCATGTCACATTCAGAGCTAATTCATCCAGAGCCTCTGAATTATTCAGCCTTTGAATCATTCAACATTTGAATCATTCAGCACTTAATCATTCTGAAGTAAACAATCAGCCCCTAAGATTTTAAATGTAAGATATGAAAATACCCTAATCCAACCGTAAAATAACAGGCATCGTTCTATGATTACAAGTACGTAGATGCTTTAGGTTTGTTATGATGCAAAAAATAATAATATTTGATATTAGGATTTATCATGTTGACAAGTACTAAATATATCAGAAACCAATGAATATTAAGTGAGAAAATAATGGTTATTAACCATACAATTCGCCAAAACTAAAATGGCATGTTCAAAGTGTTTCTGGTGTCGAACGAGTTAGCAGTAACTGCTCTTGTTCCTCTGCCTGTTCCTGTTTGATGAAAGCAAGATTGCCTGGGTTTTCCTCTTCCAAAACAAGATTCAATGGAGTTTGAGGAGGGTACATGTTTAAAATGAAGTCAATTTCCTCTCCATTGATCTCCTTTTGATTCAGAAGAACCTGCAAAAAACAATGCATAACCAAAATTAAACTTTCATTTTTCCTGGGGCATTGTTGTTTCTTTTTAATTATCAAGTCTGAAACTTCTTTACTAATTGGGATACCAGCTCGTTCGTTTAGAACGCAGTTGACATAGCAAATCAAATTACCTTCACTGCTTTGAACAAAGCCGCATGGTGACTCCTAAGAAGAGACACCGTCCTTCCATACATATCTCGCAGTAGTTCCTCACTCCTATTTGCAATTTCATCATCCATATTGAAGTTGACAGGGGGTTCGATCAGGTCATAGTCGTCGTAAAGAGATCCTTCAAAATCTAGACGCGGACCTACGAATTTAACTTTCTTCCTCCAAGGCGGTGGTTCTCCATGTATGACCATTGGATTCTCCAAGTTCCATCTGATAGAAGACATAAAAGACCTGATATTAACACCCTTTCCCTCGGTGAAAAATATAAAAAGCATGCAGCAGTCTTTACGACGACTAACATGGTTATAATTTTCCGACCTAGCCAAGATGCATCTGCAAGGTAGTTAAGTGATGCCCTTGAGGTGTCTCGCCCATAAATGACCTCCTCTGCAGCTCTTCCTCCAAGAAAAACCTTCCACATAAGCAATGACTTACATTACGAATATTGACAAAATTCAGAGTCTAATTAAAGTGCTAACAAAAACCCACACCTGAAGACGATGCAACAGCTGTGGTTGGCGTTCAAAAATGTATGATTCATCACCAAGCCTATGAAACACAACTTGTGATAGCGTCTGCATAAATAACTCGACTCTCAGTCTATTGTCTACAATAAATGTCAATTATCATTTAAAACATTGCCACAGATTTAACAGTATGGACCCCTTAGCTATGTCCCTGACACTGTAAACCGTCGAGCAGTGGTGTGCTTTTGTTTTGTCCAACTTTAGGTGATATTATAAGTATGCACGACAGCCAAGCATCGAAATTAACTTACTCAAAGAAGAAAACAGTAAAAAGAAAAGATGGAAACATAAGGAAACCAATAGCACCTGACCACGAGGAACAATTGAGATGCGATCACAACATTCAACTTCAGCATTTTCATATTGCCTAAGTAGATGAGAAGTCATAACAATTCCAACTTCAGTGGTTGCTCTACGACACTGTCCCTGATGAGCCAAATCAATACCAACACGCTTAGGTCCCACGGTTAGTCGGTCCACTGCATCATCCATATCTGACTGAAGAATTGATTGATGTCTTTTCCTGACAGCTACAAGAGCAGCCTCTTGGACTAGTTGAGCCAATTTTGCTCCAGTCCATTCTATTAAGATAATACATTATTTTCACTATTAAAATAGAAACCAACTAATCGAGACAACCTTGTTTCCATCTGTTTTATCAAGAAATGCATTACTTCAGTTATCAAATTAGAAATCAAGAAAAATCCTCAAGTTGAATGCATACCAGGCAAATTATTTGCATAAGAAGACAAATCGACAGACTCTGAGATCTTCACTTCGCTTGCATGAATTTTCAAAATTTGCAATCGCCCCTTAGCATTTGGGGGACGAATTCTTATCTGCATAAAAACCACCACAAGCAAAAAATGAACAAGTAGTGACATTTCACAGAGCAATTCAGAAAATAAAAGCAACACTTCATGTATAATGGATCCAACCAACAGAGTGCATAGCATAGATGCAAAAGAGTATATGCAAATATGAGACAGGATATCACCCTGAGAAAAATACATGTTTGAGTAACAAATAAAATGTCACACTTCGTCGAGGCCTTCAAAGTAAATACCAGAACAACTTAGTATATTCCTTGAATATGTTTTTCTATTGATAAGATGTGTTAACAAATTACATCTGCTATTCAAGTGATGGAAGCTAACCTTGCGGTCAAAACGACCTGGTCTGAGAAGAGCAGGATCTAACAAGTCTCGACAATTTGTAGCAGCTAAAAATATAACACCTTTCCCGGTATCAAATCCATCAAGCTCTATTAGTAGCTGATTCAAAGTAGTTTCCCGCTCCTGAGTGGCTGCATTATACAGCTGGTCTGTTGTTTCCTTGAAAATTCCTTGACGCCTGCCATACAGAAGAAAGAGAAAATAACTCAAAATAATGCATATATGATCTTAAAGACAGCTAAGTTTTTCTCCTGTCCACTAAACGTATCTAGGTCATCTTCCTACACAAAATTTCTATGAAAGTTTTAAAAGACACCGAGTGTGGCCTAATTTCAGTTTATAGAATACCAATAAAACCTAACTCACTATATTTCCATTACTTGATTTAAATCAGATCAAAACAATAGTGGCTTAGTCACAAATCAGAATCTGCAAAGTTTATATTTCATTTGCCTTCAAAGATATCAAGTTGTCAGCAAATGGTGTGGTATCAAAAAGTTATTTCCCCATAAAAACAAGAAAAGAAAAGAGTAGAGCAAGATTATCATACCTAGTTGCTAAAGCATCAATTTCATCAATGAATATAACTGATGGTTTATTTACCTGCAAAAGATATAATGAGCTTATAAACAAATGACATAAAGAACATAGCACCACCAAGTATTTGTAAATAAAAGGAATCAGCACTTATAACATAAAAATCAATAACACAGAGAAAATACAGTGTGCTGATTTATAGGTTTCCCAAAAGTCTGCAAAGTTTCCTTCGTTTTCTAATTATTAGTGGATGCCAGACAAGTTTCTTCAAGGTTAATTGTCAAAATAAGGAATCTAGATTGCAAGGATGGCACCGTGATTAACAGTTACAATCTGCATTAGCAATCATATATAAAACACATATAATTATCACCTTGGCTCTCTTAAACAAATCCCTGATACGAGCAGAACCAACACCCACTAAAACTTCCACAAATTCTGGGCCTGCCATTTGGTAGAATGGAACCCCTGCTTCACCAGCTATAGCCTTGGCAACTAACGTCTGGAAAAGTGCAAAATTTATCAGATAGATAAAGGAAATTCCATATTGAATTTTGCAAAACTCTTAATAGGAAACTAACCTTGCCACATCCTGGGGGGCCTTCCAGAAGAACCCCATGAGGAGGCTTTATTCCTATCTTATCAAATAGTTCTGGATTCTTCAAATATCTCACCAACTAATAGAAATACAATAAGAACTAATAAAACGCCATAATCACAGAAGATTCTCATACAAATATATGTTTTTGTATAAATATACATATCTACATATACAAAACAGACGGTGAGAAATTGAGAAGGAAAGGAAACAAAATACACAGAACTCAAACAAGGAACCATTCTTCTCTTTCTTCTATTTTTCAAATAGAAAAATGGATACCTCTTGAAGTTCCTCAACTGCTTCATCTATGCCTGCCACATCATTAAACTTAACTCCAGTTGAACCCTGAAAGAACAAATCTTCAAAGTAACCTTAGAAATGCAACACTAAACTCTGATAAGATAAAGATGAACACATAATATTTCAAGGCTCACATCAACACGAGCTTCTGCTTTAGATCGAGAAAAATGAATGCCTTGCCATAGATCCTGCCATTTTGTATGCAATATTATTTCCAAACTCTTTGAATAGACAAACCAGATTCAACAATAAAAATTTACAAGGATTAACAGTGTTTACCCATTTCCTGAATTTCTTAGGTCTTCTTGAAAGTGTGAAACGGACAAGAAGAACCATAGTTAAAAGGACAATTGTGATTGGTTTTAGCATCTCAATACTAGCAGATACACCACCAAAAGTGTAAAACTCATACAACTTGGAGAAAATCCCCCCATCACTGAACATATCAACTAGATTATCCCAAATCCTCTCTAATATACCGAATATGATACCTAGAAAAAGTTTAACAAATGGTTTCGCTATGGGCCATGCAACATATACAGTTGTTACAAATACAACACTGGTTGCAGAAAATACAGAGGCTGCTAGAAACCCTCCAACAAGAACTGCTGCAGTGGCCATTCCAGCAGTGGCCATTCCAAGCTCTACCATCACTCTGCTGGATATGGAAGATGCCACTGGATTAGGATACTCGGGTACTTTACCCACCCAAGACTGCATCACAGTAAAGGAGATTAATAAGGAACCAAAAGATATAGACTACCCAACACCCAAGTACCAAACAAGCTTCAATGCCAATGACATGTGCAATGATATATATCCTGCAGTGTTTTCCCCAGCTCACCAATGAAAGATAGCACTGATATTTAACCAAAGATATCACTAACAGAATTCCACATGCAGTTTTTACATAATATTCAAGTCATCAAGGCAACTCTTTCAACAAGAACTATATTCTTACTAATTCGATGTAAACTTCACCGTTTTCAGTCGAATTCAATTCTTATACAATGTGTTTGTCCATAGCTATCACAAAACCCAATGCAAATATATATCAAAACACAAGTACATAGTGAACTAATACATGGCTTTCAAAATATACCAACTGTACAGCCACATTTAAGTTAATCTATAAAATACTCATAAGCAACGTTCATATATAACTAGAGAATCAAAGAGAAGTTATATGGTTTGTCACCATCATTGGCCTCTCAATTTCATATCGTTGTCCAGTGTACTCTCTTAAAAGATCTTGAGCTTCACTCTCATCTTATCTCATTGCCCTACAAAGATAAAACAAACCACATAGATATATATATATATATGTATATCAGAGAACGGAAAAGAAATACAAATTGAGAAAAAATCAAGTCATATAAATATTCACCATTTAGGGTGTCTTTGGTTTACGGAATGTAAAATTACCAGTGGGAATAAAAGATTAACAGTGAATAAGATTACTGAGAATGTTGTATTTTGTGTTTGGTTGGTTTAGCAGGAATATAAGATTACCGTGTTTGGTTAAATGAATACAAGATTATTGGAATGTATATTTGACTAAATTGTCCTTATTATATATTTGTTTTTTAACAAGTTGGAAAATATTTATATATTTTCTTTAAAAAATTTAAATTCATAAAATTTATACAATTTTTTTTTACAAAATTGAAAATATAAAAAGGTTTAATGAAAGGGTAAAATTTTATTTTAACCTGTCAACACACATTTTTCGTCCTACTATGATTCAAACTCCTAAAAATAGGATAGAATTTTAGGATTCAAACTCCTAAAGATATGATAGAATTTTGCTATGATTCAAAAAATAGGATAGAATTTTATGATTTAAACTCCTAAAGATAGGATCCACAAGCACTATAAATAGCCATTGTAACTCACCATTTGAAGACACGATTTACACACAAAACATAGAGGAAAGCACGAGAAGATACAAAGGCAAAGCTATTGTAAACGATTCGAAAAATAAATAAAAGGTAGTATCTTTTTTACTTTTGATTTGGTCTCTTACATTTACGTTTTAATTATTATTATTTTATTTATTTAACTTTATTTATAAGCACATTTCCCTTGTTACTCACTTTATTTAATTGTTTTGTTATTTTTTTTTCATGTAATATTTTTTTACATTTTATGTATTTTCTTTTTTACTTTAGTATATATTTTTATTTTTTTAGATTATATATATAAATATATATTTTTTATTATCAGTTTTATTAATTTATATATATATATTTACTTTTTTATTTTTTTTATTTTATATATATATTATTTTACTTTTTTATTATTATTTTATTTATTTGTTTTATTTCTATATTTTTTTTCTTTTTCTTCTTTTTCTTTATTTTTTATATTTATTTTACTTACTATTTTATCTTTGTTTTCTTTATCTTATCTTTTATTTAATTTGTTTTCTCTTTATTTTAATTTAATTAATTTATTTATTTCTTACCTTTTTATCTATTACCTTTTTATCTAACATGGTTTTTTGACATTCTTAAGGCCACACCTTTAAAACTATCTAAGGTAAGTAATTGTGATCGTATATTTACCTTTTAATTTTAAATTACAATTTTCTTAATTTAAGACAACCGGCAAATTACGTAGTACCGAAAGGGCGGTTCAAGGGTGCTAATCCTTCCTTGACCGTAATCGACTCCCGAATCCGACATATCTTTGGTAAGACGCAGATCAGGTAAGATAAAAGGTATCTGATTAACCTATTTATTTTTTAAATAAATAATCGGTGGCGACTCCAATCACATTTTTCAAGTCGAAGCCCAATTCCGGGGCCCAACCAAAAGACGGTTACGACAGCTTGGCGACTCTGCTGGGGACCGTAAGTGAGTCAGGCTAAGGTAATTTCCAGTTGTTTTTTTAATGAAAAGGGTAAGTTTAAATTTTAAGGTAACATTTCGATCCTTATTGCTTACTTTTGATTATATTTTCGAAGTAAATAGTTGTACTGACCGTTTTTAATGATTTCAGCCCTTAAAGATTTTTCATCTAAAGGCTCTATACCCGAGCTTCGAACCCTATTTAAGTGGGGGTGAAAGCGACGCCTTCGTGTGAATTTATTCTCCGTATAGGCCTAGCAAGTAACCTTCGGGATTCATATACCTTATGCCTTCGTGTGAATTTATTCTCCGTATGGGCATAAGGGAATGTTTCCTCTCGAGTTTAACTTAGTCCACACAAGCCTGTGATGGGTTTAGGACTAAGGGTCTGGCAAGCCCAAGGGGGCACCAGCAAGGAGAACTCGGGTACCATTTTTTAGCACCTAAACCGGGAGACCATGGAGAATTAGAGCCCACCCCAAAATCTCATTCCAAACCCTAGGCTGCTTTGTTTCCTGCTTTAGTTTCTGTTCAAAGCATGCGAACTAGACAAATATGCGGTTAGGATTTGTTTGAAAGTAGCATGCGGGATAGAGATCATGTCCGGGTAGGAATAATAAGCATGTGGGGTAGATATCATGTGGGGTAGGACTTTCATTTTTATGATCGTTTTTTATTTTTTTTTCACCTCACTAACTCTTTTCATCTTTCTTTTATTTTATTTCATCACTTGCATCATAAAAGAGGTCATTGATCCACTAAAACGTGTTTGTTAAAACTCGAATAATCTGAATCCATGGACAAAGGTGTTGTAATACAAGAGATTAAAAACCCCGAGGTACGACTATGGTCCGAGAAGACTCAGAAGGAAAAGGGAGACAGTCTTCAAGGAAGCTATGTGTCAGTGCTGGTTAGCTACGCCTCTATCAACCTAAAACAGAATAATGTGCAAGAACTTCGAGACATCTGAGATAGTTGGAAGAATGATCGGAAATAGAAGTTCAGTCAGCGGTATGGTGACATTGCATTTTTGCTTCATGTTAAGACCGATGAGCCCTTAATCAGAGTCTTGGTTCAATTTTTGAACCTGGGATACAATTGCTTCACTTTTAACCAGGAGGACATGGTACCTACCATCGAGGAGTATACTACACTATTGCACTGTGAAAGCATTAAACTGGAGCGAGCCTACATCAAACACATCAAGAGTCAGTCTTTCAAGAACGGACTGGCTAAGATTGCAGGAGTTGATGAAAAATGGGTGACTGACCGACTCCGAAACAAAGGTAACGGGCAAGACTATAGACCTTTTTGCACTAGGTCTGTATGGCTTGATCATCTTTCCGAAGGTTTTAGGATGCATTGACACAGCCGTGGTGGAACTGTTTGAGCAACTTCCGAAACGAGTCAACCCATCACCGACCATCTCAGCCGAGACCTTTTAGTCTCTCAACCATTGTCGAAGAGCTGGCGGAGGTAGATTCATTGGATGTGTTCAGTTCCTTCAAGTCTGGATTCACATCCACTTCTAGAAGACTAATGGGGTTGCCTACTGTAGATTTAACACTACGTATTCACCTTTGAGAGAGTTCATCACCATGACAGGATATGAAGGCGCTTCAAAAGAGAAATGGATGAAAGTCTTCACTCATCTACAGGACCGAGATATTACCTGGAGAGCCCCCTGGTTGTTCCTCAGTGATGTTCTTTTCAAGTGTGGGAATTCTGACACTATGACCCTATTTGGACTTTGAGGTGCAGTTGGGTATGCTCCGTTGTTGGCACTTAGACAGTATGGGGCACATCAGTTTGTCCCAGCAACATATGGATTATCTATATCAGAGTTTATGTATCACGATGACAGTTATAAGAAGATGATCAAAGAAGCAGTCGAGTCATGGAAGAAAGTATCTCGGATGGATGTCTAGAAGATTTAGTTCGAACATACCTTTTATTGTTTTTATGTCTCTTACAAGATAAAACATTTTTGTCTGAATAATGATTATTTATGATAATGGACACTTTTCTGGATCAATGCCTCGAACATTTCATGCATTCTTGCATTTTGTATTTTTGCCTTTTTGCATTTTCATCTACATTTTAAGCATTTTCACAAACATGAAATTAAGTCGTGAAGGGCTCGATGAAGCGAATTTAACCACATGGAAGCAAGATTGTAACAGTAGGAGCCTGATCAGCTGATTGTAGGACAAAGCTTGCCAGGATGATCTAAGAAAAGAATCCCCATATCCTAAGGGCCACGATGTTGAAGCTGCTAGCTGTTACCACGTAAGAAGCCCCAAACATTCCTCTGAAACCTGTAAGGCGCTTGCCGAAGAAGGGGGCATGGCATATACCATTTGCACTTAGAGGATTGTTTTGTTTGAACACGTCTTTGATCTTTCGCTTAATCTGTTAAATGATTGAATTTATGCTACTTTCTAAGGTAGAGCAATTGAACAAATTTTAATCTTTAGTTCTTCGAATATTAAATGAATTAAGGATTCTTTTAATTCTTCAAGAATTATAGATTTTGACATATGACAAGATTAGACCTTTCTTATCCTGTCTCAAACCCCCAAAATGAAATACCTTGATCAAAAAACCAAATTTTGACATTACCTCCATTTGAAATTCTTGAACATTACCTTTATCTTTTTGATACACCCACACCTTTCTTTGAGTCAATAAGATCACACAACTGTCTTTTTAGACTCAAAATTAACCTTTTTTACCATTAAAACCCAAGGCATTGAGTTGTTCATTTGAACATGAGCATTCTTC